GCAAGTGGTTCCAAAAAAGGGAGGTATTACAGTGATAAAGAATGAGAGTAACGAATTGATACCAACTAGGACGGTCACGGGCTGAAGAGTGTGAATTGACTATCAGAAATTGAATGAAGCAACAAGGAAGGATCATTTCCCACGTCCTTTCATCGATCAGATGTTGGAGAGATTAGCAGGGCATGCTTATTATTGTTTCTTGGATGGGTATTCAGGATACAATCAGATTGCCATCGCTCCTGAGGATCAAGAGAAGACGACCTTCACTTGTCCCTATGGCACCTTTGTTTATCGAAGGATGCCCTTTGGGTTGTGTAATGCACCAGCCACATTTCAGAGATGCATGATGTCGATCTTTGGAGATATGGTGGAGCAGTTTATAGAAGTCTTCATGGATGACTTCTCTGTTTTTGGTTCGCCCTTTGATAATTGCTTATCTAATCTTTCTTTTGTTTTGCAGCGATATCAGGAGACGAACTTGGTGCTCAATTGGGAGAAGTGCCACTTCATGGTCCAAGAAGGAATAGTGCTTGGTCATAGAATTTGAAAGGACGGAATAGAAGTGGATTGAGCAAAGACGGACGTGATTGAGAAGCTACCACCACCCTCCAATGTTAAAGTAGTTCGAAGTTTCTTGGGCCATGCGGGGTTTTATAGATGGTTCATCAAGGATTTTTCTAAGATCTCTAAACCCTTTGCAATTTATTGATTAAAGATGTTGCTTTTGATTTTAATGATGAATGCATGCATGCCTTTCAAACTCTAAAACAATTATTAGTGTCGGCATCTATTATTGCACTTCCTGATTGGGGACTACTATTTGAATTGATGTGTGATGCTGGTGATTTTGCACTAGGAGTAGTGTTAGGACAAAGGAAAAACAAAGTGTTGCATGTAATTCAGTATGCTAGCAAAACACTCACTGATGCACAATTGAATTACACCACCACTGAAAAAGAATTGTTGGCTGTGGTTTTTGCCTTTGATAAATTTCGTTCATACTTGCTAAGTGTAAGGGTGATAGTCTACACGGACCATTCAACACTTAAGCACCTATTGGCAAAGCAAGAAGCGAAACCTCGGCTGATAAGATGGATCCTATTGCTACAGGAGTTTGAGTTGGAAATAAGAGATAAGAAGGGGTCAAAAAATGTAATGGCGGACCATTTGTCAAGGATTGAACAACCAATTCAGGGAAATGAGGAAGAAACCCAAATCAGAGAAACTTTCCCAGATGATAAATTGATGAGAGTGGAGGAAGCACCGTGGTATGCAGATTTCGCAAACTACTTGTCAGGGAGAGTGCTCCCCATTGGCATGACCTTCCAACAAAAGAGGAAGTTTTTCTCAGATTGAAATACTACTTCTGGGAAGAGCCATTCCTTTATAGACACTGTGCTGATCGGATGATCCATAGGTGTGTTCTGGAAGAGGAAATGGAGAGTATTCTAAGGCATTGTCATGAGAGGGAAGTAGGTGGCCATTTTGGAGGAGCTAGGACAGCAGCCAAGGTTCTTCAATCTGGGTTTTATTGGCCAACCCTTTTTAAGGATTCTTTCCAAATGGTTCAGGAATGAGACCTATGTCAATAGAGTGGTAATATTTCAAAGAGAGATGAGATGTCATTGAACAACATCCTTGTAGTTGAGCTGTTTGATGTGTAGGGAGTTGACTTCATAGGTCCCTTCCCAAATTATTTTGGGAACACATACATTTTGGTAGCAGTGGATTACGTATCAAAGTGGGTGGAAGCAGTTGCATTGCAGCCTAATGATGCTAGGGTAGTGATTAATTTTGTGAGAAAGAACATTTTCTCAAGATTTGGAGTACCACAGTTAATCATTAGTGATGGAGGATTGCACTTTTGCAATAGGCAATTTGATGCCCTATTGGGAAAGTATGGGGTGAAACATAGAGTTGCAACACCTTACCACCCACAGATGAGCGAGCAAGTGGAACTATCAAACAGAGAACTTAAGGGAATTTTAGAAAAGACAATTAATGCATCTAGGAAAGATTGGTCACGAAAATTGGTTGATGCATTATGGGCCTACCGAACTGCATTTAAGACTCTAATTGGTATGTCTCCATTCAGGATGGTCTATGAGAAGACATGTCACTTGCTGGTAGAACTCGAGCATAAAGCATACTGGGCAGTCAAGCAGCTAAACATGGACTTATGAGCTGCTGGGGAGGAAAGGATGCTGACTTTGAATGAACTTGATGAGTTCCATCTTAAAGCTTATGAGAATGCTAGGATGTACAAGGAAAAGACCAAGAAGTGGCATGACAAGCATATCAGGAAGAAGAACTTTGAAGTGGGTCAGAAAGTGTTGTTGTTTAACTCTAGACTTAGGCTTTTCCTAGGAAAATTTAACTCTAGATGGTCCGGACCCTTCATAGTTACAAGAGTTTACCCATTCGGAGTGGTGGAGGTGTCACATGAAGAAAAAGGCACATTTAAGGTCAATGGCCAGAGGTGGAAGTCATATATCGACGGAGTGATGAGTTGCAAGTCAATTCCCCTTCGACTTGACATTCCAACATGAGAACTTAAGAGAGTCAAGCTTTCTGACTGTGAAAAAGCTCTCCTTGGGAGGCAACCCAAGTGTTTCATTTGTTTATTTGTTTTGCATTTAGTTGGTTCACTTTTGATTTGTGATGAAGTTAATTTGTATGTTTTTGGATGTTTCAGGTGAAAATTTTGAATAAAGGCGAAAAACAAAATTTTCCAGTTTTTGCCGCGGTGAAGAAGTATTTTTCGCCACGGCGAAGCACATTTTGAAAAATTGGGAAGGCAAAAAGTCCCATACCTCGTTGCGGCGAAGATTTTTCTTTACCGGGGCGCCATTCTCTCTGTAATTTTTCGCCGCGACGAAGGAAGTTAGACAAATTTTACAAAGGAAAGTTTGCTATGGCGAAGATTGTTATTCGCTGCGGCGCTATACTCTCAGTAATTTTTTGCTGTGGCGAATAATTTGTCTTCGCCGTGGCATCGACTAGGTTTGGTTTTTAGGGTTTTGAAATGAAGAACTTCATCGCGGTGAAGATTGTTCTTCGCCGCGATGACACCTGGTTTTTATAAATACTTTGAGCAACCCTTCATTTTTCGTGAAACTTTTCAAACCCATTTGAGAGAAAAATTTCCCACGTTCAATCCAGAGCCTTCCCAGTGATTTCCCAACAAATTTTCTCACTCCTTAACCTTTCTAAACACCAAAACAACTTGTTCTAACAAAGATCTTTGCAAAAAATTGTAGAAATTTGTGGTTTCAAGAATTTGGGGGTTTTGCAATCTAGGATGATTTTGGCTAAATTGGTGGCGAATACTCCCTAGTTTTGGTAAGATTACGCATAAATAGGAGGATGATGAAAGTACTAATTGCATGTTCTGAGAGAAGGATGAACAACAAAAGATATGAGATATAAATGGGTTGGTTAACCACCAAGAATAAATATGTGTTAACATTACTAGCTAGTGGTAGAATGACGAGATGGGTCATGTCAAACCACGTCAAATACTTGTCTCTTTTGTATTGCATGATTTTATTTATATTGTATTAATTTCAATGTTTGATTTTGTTATACAATCTCCTTTTGTAATATTAACCACTATTATATTCTTATAATCGATATAGCTCCTTCTGTAATATTAACCACTATTATATTCTTATAATAGATATAGCTCATGGCAAGTAAATGTCTCTCTCTATAGAACTCAACTTGATATGTTTCCTAAATATTACAAGTAAGAGTTGTCTAATGATTGAAATTGGGTGGATAACGTTTGTAGATGAATAAGATAATAAGCTTGTAGTGGTGTCAATTGGTAGTATAAAGGTGACGTCTAATTAGATATATCTTTTTATACATTAGACATGATGCGCATGGAATAATTAAATACAGAAAACCTCATACTCGTGACAAATCTCTAGATTTCTTTTGCATAATTTATTTACATTAGTTGGTTGAATGAACAGTAACAATGAACAAGAAAGAGAAGAAAAGTGAGAGAAAATGAAAAAAAAATTTGGGAAGAAAAAGTCTATTATACTTCCTTAACTGAAACAATCGCACAGTTCAGTTTTTATACACTTAGTGTTATAACAAAAAGCTCAACTAAATGTAATGAAATACCAACCAAATAATAGTCAACTAAGTCAACTAATATTAGTCAACTCAAGTTAACATTTGGCTTTGTTTCATATACTAACATCCTGCCATAAATCAAACTTCCTTGAAATCTAGTCTTTGATTAATTTCAAATCCTAACATCCTACTGTAAATTAAACTTCCATGATTGCTCTACTCAACCAAGTTAATTAACTGGAGGCTGAGAACTTATCGTGCAAAGAGCTGAGAACTTATCGTGTAAAGAGCTGAAAAATTTTAAATGCCACTCATTTTGCAAAGAGTTGAGAACTTATTCTAAGAACTTACTGTGCAAAGAGCTGAGAACTACAAATGCATGATTCTGTACTGACTACTAATTGTCTCAGTACTAGCCACCAAACTTTATCTTGAGTAAGTGGTAAGTGTGGCTTTCACTGTTTGCTAAGCAAGCACAACTCATACTACTGCACTTAATCATTATTTAAAACTCTGTACTGGCTACTAAAACTACCAGGTCTGTAGCAAAATAACCAACTACCTTGGTTTTTAAAACTCCACTGACTACCAAACGACCCAAGCCATCAGAAGTGATCAAGGCTATCATTAGATTGTAACAGCTTGAGTATTAGATGTTGAGCCAACTGAGCTGGAAGAAGGTAGAGCTTGTATTGTTAGTTTGTGTCTTAGAGTTTCAAACCTAGAGGCCAGAAAAGCGTTTGTAAAGATATCTGCTTTTTGATGTTCAGTGGGCATATATTGGACTTTGAGATTGTGAGACGTAACCTGTTCTCTAACATAGTGCGCATTAATTCAATGTGTTTTGTTTTTCCATGAAACACAGGGTTAGAAGCAAGAGATCCAGCACTTTGATTATCACACCAAATAATTCAAATCTCCGATAAGGAAAGGCCAAGTTCAGAAAACAAGCTACAAAACCATGCCAATTCAGTGGACCCTTGAGCAAGTGCTCTATACTCAACTTCGGTGGAAGATAGGGCCACAACTTTCTGCTTCCTAGAAGTCCATTGCAGTAGGTTAGTGCCAAGAAAAACACAGTAGCCGCTTGTGGACCTCCTGTCCTCAATGCTACTAGCCCAATCAGCATCGATATAACATTCTAGATTAAGTCTATGACTTTTAGTGAAGAGAAGTCCATAGTTAGAGGTACCTTTAAAATACCTAAGCAATCTTTTACAAGCCTGCCAGTGGTTCTGTGTAGGGGCTTTGAGAAATTGGCTTTGTTTGTTAACACAATAGGCAATGTCAAGCCTGGATAATGTCAAATACTGAAAGGCTCCTAATGTACTCCTATATATAGCTACATTTTCATAAAGATCACTATCTTCTAAAGTTAACTTAGTGCCAATAGCCATTAGAGTAGTACATGGTTTTCAGTCCTGCATATTAGTCTTTGTTAAGAGATCTTTGAAATATTTTCCTTGATTCATATGAAAATAGGATACTGTTCTAGTAACCTCAAAGCCGAGAAAATATTTGAGTGAGCCTAGGACTTTTAAAGCAAACTGATTATTTAGCTTATGTATTGTTTCATGAAGTAAATTGGTGTCATTTCTAGTGAGTAGAATGTCATTGACCTACACTAGTACATACATAACCTTTTCCATCTTTTGATAGACAAAGAGACTTGGATCAACGATTGAGTGAACAAAATCCCAACTCAAGAAGGCTCTTTTCAACTGATCAAACCAGGCTCTAGTGGCCTGTTTTAGACCATAAAGGACCTTGACTAATCTACACACATGATGACGATGTTGAGGATTAACAAAGCCTTAAGGTTGAGTCATATATACCTTTCAGTGAGTTCACCAATTAGAAAGGCACTGTTAATGTCGACTTGCTGAATTTCCCAGCCATTATTCACTGCTAAACTCAAAATAACTTTGATTATGGGTGACTTAACCACTAGACTAAATGTTTCTAGATTGTCAATCCCTGAAGTTTGTTGAAAACCTTTTGCCACAAGCCTTGCCTTGAACCTTTGAATGGATCCATCAGGGTTGTACTTTATTCGAAACACCCATTTGTTGTGAGGAAACGATCCATTGAGGTAGCGGAAAACAAAAACAATAATAACAAGGATCGTTCCATAGAACCAAGATCAGGGTACAATTTAACAGTTTATATCAAAATAAGAATCTATAGAAAATTAATCTAGAGTTTAAGAAATCATACGCACGTTTGGAGGCTCCTCCAACTTTGTCTCTGAACGTATTTTGCTACCAACCCAAGTGTAGGATCACACTGACGTAGTCCACACGAAGACAATTGCAAGGAACTAAAGAGGGATTTACTAATCCTCTTTAGCCTTAAGAACAAAGAAGAAAAATCAGAGAAAAACTTTGATTCTTAGCTAAACCAAAATCTGGCCTGGGAGAGTAAACAAAGGGGCTGTAGCTTTTCTCTTTTCAATGAAAGAATGAAATGAATAATCTTAATCTTTTTCAATTAACCTTTTTCTTTTATAGCAAAGTTTAATTGCCCTATTCCCATATGGAATAGGCTTGGGCTCCAACCCAAACACCCCTTGTTTCCAAACACTCCCAATTAGATATTTATTTTAATTCATCATTATCTCAATTAAAATCAATTAACATATATTTAATATATATATATTAACATTTAACAATAATGGTAATTTATTTAAATATATGCTAACACATATTTAAACGTAATTTCACTTATTTAATTTTTCTAACAAATTAAATAAAGGCTACGACCTCAGCAAATTTAATTGCATCGTGAAATTACCAAAATACCCTTTCACTTAAAAAGATGAAAATGCCCTTCTTTCTTCCTGGCTCTCAAATTATCTTCTATGTGTGTGACCCATAGGCTCTTCATCATACCGGCAGTGTATAGTATCACGATTAACACCAATTAATCGTCTCACTAATACACAGACCAAGATTGGCCCCTAGCAAGGCATCATGGCCACCCGATAGATTCGGATTCAGCAAAGTAGCTACCTATCAACGATATGGTGATCGAACAATTCGATCCTTTCATCATACGTTATCTCAACAAGACGAAGGTATAGAAATAGTGTCAACCTTCGGTTACTCTCGATATTATGTATTTAGTTTTTGGACCAATGACCTGTATTATAAACTGGATAGAGCAATAACTCAATTCCACTGTGGCCACAGTTTTAGTGTCATTTCCACCATAGTCTTGATACACTCCTTGATGCAGCCAATCACTACCATGTTGGTAGCTCTGAAAAGAACTACGTTAGGCTAGTGTCAAACTACACCAATCGGTGCATAAGGCGTTTCGGTGATCTCAAGTCTAAGGATCACATGCACCACCATTCATTAGAGGATTTGTTCCATAGACACCATCCATATGGAATCCTCTGGTAGGCCAGTCCAGTGAACTTGCTACATTGTATTCGCCTATAACAAACACCCATATGTTGCACCAGATTGTCACCAAACAACCTTGACAAGTGAGATCAGTCACTGCCTTTCTACAGGGCCGTTCAACACTATGATAGTCTTACTGTATTATCTGTGCCCTTACTTCAGAATAATAATGGGGCTACGAATGTTTCTAGAATGGCCACTATATGTGCTCATAGGGTTCTCACCATCAAGATTTGAAACGCTTGATACCCTCGTCAAGGTTCTACCATTCTAAGGACATATATCAATACATATTGCAATAATAGTGATTTACAAGATATAGAATAAAATGCCTTTTATTATTGATTAATGAACATTATTATAAAGAGTCAATTCTACAATAATTGATTGGCTCTAGGGCATCTACTCTAACATTTGTAGCCTACAGGATGCATATCAGAGATAGCATGAACTAATTCCCAAGTTTGGTTAGTTAGCAAGGCAGCAAATTCAGATTGCATGGCAGCCTTCTAGGCAGGGTGAGAGAGGGCTTCTATGATAGTAGCTAGTTCATTGTTATTAAGAGAAGAAGGTGAAACAAGGACAGTATTATATTCTCTGGTTTTGGACATAGTAAGCGTGGGATGGGTGTTCAATGCAGGAGGTGTAGGTTTGGTTCAAGGCAGTTCAATAGTAAGAGGAAGTGTCATAAGACTCATCTGAACCTATAGTTATAAGGGATAGAATAGGTGATGTTAATGAGGTTGAGTTAGAAGAAGTAGATGGCAGACTGAGTGCAATAGTGGTTGGAGGAAATGCAGTTGTGGTTGGACTAGATAGTGAGGAGGTTGAAGTCTAAGGTAAATTAGATTTATTAGAACAGGAAGGTGATAGAGAAGGTGAACTAGAAGATGCAATGTCCTATGAGATTGACTGACCTAGTGTGGAAGGACAAGTAGAAGAAATTGGAGCTGAAACAGGACTGGAAGATATCCTGAAGACAGAAGCAGGTATATGCCAAACTAAAGGAATAAAAGAACTGGAAAAAGATTTAGTGTTTATTGAATTAGGTGCAGAATTGGAACCAAAAAAAAAAAAAAAATGTTTTGAATGGAAAATCAGATTCATCAAATTGTACACTTTGGCAAATATAAATTCGACTAGAGGTATTCAAGCACTTGTATTCCTTATGATGCAAAATATAGCCAATGAAGGTGCATTTGGTGGTATGAAAATTAAACTTGTGGCTACTATAAGGTCAAAGGGCAAGGTAGGCAGCACACCAAAAAACTTTAATAAGTGAATAATTTGGAGGAGTTTTGAATAGGACTTGCAAAGGTGATGCATGGTAGGCAACTGTTTGAAAGGCAAACCACCAAAATTTAAGTGGCATGCTGGCTTGGGCTAGTAAAGTCAGGCCTTGTTCCATAATTTTTCTATGTTTTCTCTCAACTCTACCATTTTGTTGGAGAGTGTGAGGACATGGATGTCTAAGGATGATACCATGTTCTTGTAGGTAAGGTACTAATTTCCTATACTCACCACCCCAATCGGTTTGAGCACATTTTAAAGGTGTGTTGAATTGCTTTTCAACTAGGACATGAAATTGTTTAAAAATAGTAAAAATTTCAGATTTGGCTTTCAAAGGGAAAAGCCAAGTAAATCTACTATGGTCATCAAGGAATTGAATGTAATACCTGTAGCCTTCGGGAGATATGACAAGGGAAGGTCCCCAGAGATCTAAGTATACTAATTTAAGTGGTTTAGAGGCATGAGATTTGGATCTAGGATATGTGGATTGGTGTAACTTGCCAAATTGGCAAGCTGAACAAAATGTTATATCATTCTTAGCATGGTGATGTAAGTGCAAAGCATCAAGCACTTTTCCAAGAATGGTTAGATTGGGATGTCCTAATCGGTTGTGCCATAGCATGATATTGGTTGTTTGAACAGGAAATGATTGAAGAGCATTTATTTCATTAAGTATAGGTGTATCACCAGTACAGGATACGGATTCGGATACAAATGGTCTTGTGTATTGCATACAATTTTGATTGACATAATCAACACAGGGGGATTTACATTTATTGAAAACATGTTTTGGCAATATTTGTGTGGGAAAAGAAGTGCTACAAGGCTTATTACATGACTTAGTTATTGAAATAGCAGGGCTGCTTTTATGCTGAAGTTGAGTAGAAGAATCCAAGGCTTCTGCAGAAGTAGGTAAGGAATAAACTAGAGCTTAAAGTTGGTATAATCAACCTTTAAGAATTCCTTTGAGTAGGATTACTTTGGAGAGCTTGTCCTTAACCACACAAGAATCAATAAAAAACTCAATAGTGACAAGATTATCTCTAGTTAGTTTAGAAACACTAAGAAGATTTTTTGTAATGTGAGGGACACACAAGATATTCCTAAGGTGCAGAGTTCTAAATGGACAGTTTAAATCAATAGAACCAATATGTGAAATAGAAAAAAACTCACCATTGCCAACCTGGAGCTGTTCATTGCCTGCATAACTGGTGCTTCCTATAAGTTGAGAAAAATCAGAGGTAACATGGTCTGTAGCTCCAAAATCCATGTACCATGTAGCATCATGTACTGTAAAAGGTGTGGCAATGTAGTTTATGGCTGCAGGATGATAGTTGTGTAGTTGAGTTTGAACCATCAGAGCCTAATTGTGCAGATGAATAGCAATTGAGTTTGACTGACTGTCAGCATGGACAACTGTGGATCCAGGTGTTTGGTGAAATGAAGCAAGTGTTGTGTTTTGAGACATCATTGAGGATTCTGAGTAGGGATTATGCACATAGCGATGAGCACCATGACTATCAGCTAGGTAGTAAGAACTTCCAGTTCCAGAATTACCAATTCTAGGATTTCCAATTCCAGAATTAAATGAGGGTTGTCTGATGAAGCTAGGAGAGTGAAAGTTGCTTCTAAGTAAGGTGCTATTTCCTGTAAAGTTTACATCAAATCCGTGGTAACAATTCAAGGCTAAATGACCT